GAAATCCTAAGCAGTTTCGAGAAAAAAATTCCTTACCGAAAATATGTTTTAAATATTAATTTTTTAATGTCTCCTAACCCTTTTTCCCCCAATACAATTACCATAATCTCTCCATCAAGAGGCTCTGCTACTAAATTCTCATCAGTAATCCCCAGATATTAGCTACATGTCACAATCTAACAGCCATTTGCATCCCTTTGAAGCATCTCGTAAATATGCAAAATGGCGTTTTGGAAATTCTCGTGCTCGACTGAGCCTCGAAATTTCTTGATTTTGCTGAAAATATTTAAATAAAAACGAGACAAAAACTCCAATATAAAAATTTAAAATCAAGAAACACTCCTAAAATAGTCTCACCCCCAATTAACAACCCTTTTTAAACAAATTTTCATCAAAAACGATGCTTCAAACAAATTACACTAATAAAACTCAAAAATATTTAAATAAAAACGAAAGAAAAAACCCATTATAAAAATTTTACAACAAGAAACACCCTAAAATAGTCTGCTCCTTAATTAACAACCCTCTTAAAATAATTTTTGTACAGAATAGAATGAAAAAATGGCTCCAAAATAGTGACACTAATAAAACTCAAAAATATTTAGATAAAAACGAAAGAGAAAATCCAATAAAAAAATTTTAAGACAAAAACAACCCTTAAATTTTCTAATACAAAATGCAATTATCATCAAAGATTCAAAGCAATTGGTTTTTTGAATTTATTTTTAAAAATTGAAGTCTTGAAATGATTCAAATTTTCTAATACAAAATGCAATTATCATCAAAGATTTGAGGCAATTGTTCCTTTGAATTTATTTTCAAAAATTGAAATTTGGAAATGATTGAAATTTTCTTATATAAAATGCAATTATTATCAAAGATTCGAGTCTGCTGTTTTTTTAAATTTATTTTTAAAAATTGAAATTGAATGTGATATACTCTGAGACCTTGAGAATTAATTTTACACCTTTGGAAATTAAATAAAAATGAAATCTAGTATTAGTTTCTGACCAATTATTCTAAAACCATGAAAATCAATTTTATAAACAACTTTTACGCCTGTAAAAATTAAATAAAAATAAAATCTAGTATTAGTTTGTGACTAATTATTCTAAAACCATGAGAATTAATTTTATAAATAACTTTTACATCTTTGAAAATTAAATAAAAATTAAATTCATTATTAGTTTGTGGCTAATTATTCTAAAATCATGAGTAAAACTATTTTAACACTACCAAAAATTAAATAAAAATGAAACCTACTATCATATCGTAACAATAATTTTATTATCCATGTGAGCATAAGAATTTGACATAAACAATTTCCTAAAAAATATTCTAAGCCATTAAAATTAATATTGCACCCCCAAAAATGAAATAAAAATGAAATAAAAATAAAACCTACTATTAGATGGTGGCAATAATTTTATTATTCATGTAAGCATAAGAACTTGACATAAATAATATCCTAAACAATATTCTAAGCCACTGAAATTAATTTTGCACCCCTAAAAATGAAATAAAAATGAAACCTACTATCAGATGGTGACAATAATTTTGTTATTCATCTGAGGATAAGAATTTGACCTAAATAATATCCTAAAAAATATTCTAAGCCATTGAAACTAATTTTACACCCTTAAAAATGACATAAAAATGAAATAAAAATAAAATCTACAATAGTTTTGTTATTCGCGTGGGCACGAGAGCTCCGCGTAAATAATCCGTCGTATCGGGTGGTTAACAAATCAATAACTGCCTAACGTTTGATAGAAAACGGCGCCTGTTGAGCACCGACGGTCGAGTTTCGAAATTTGCTAACCGCGAGAGCACGTACCGCGGTATACGTGGAACGTAAAACTCTTTTTCTTTCTCCTGAATAATGCAAACACGCGGAAAAGTCTATCGCGAATCCTCGTATTTCTTGCTTGATCAATTCCGGAATTTATTCCACCGGCAGATTTCGTTTCTGTAAACCGGACCAAGAAGATGTCGTTCCACGAGAGCCTCCAATTTGATTAGAAATGTCTATTACACGATTCATGGCGAAAAGTTCATTTTTATAGGCGGTGGACCGAATAATTGCCTTATTGGAGCCATTTTTTCATGCTTTTTTTTTACAAAAATTATTACAAAATGGTTGTTAATTGGGGGTGAGACTATGTTAGGGGTTGTTTTTGTCTTAAAATTTTTATTTTCGGTTTTTTCTTTCGTTTTTATTTAAATATTTTTGAGTTTTATTAGTGTCAATTTTTTTGGAGCCATTTTTTCATTCTATTCTGTAAAAAAAAATTATTTTAAGAGGGTTGTTAATTAAGGAGGTGACTATTTTAGGGTGTTTCTTGTTTTGAGATTTTTATATTGGGTTGGTTCTGTTGTTTTTATTTAAATATTTTCGAGTTTTGTTAGTGTCACTTTTTTGGAGTCATTCTTTCATGCTTTTCTGTAAAAAAATTATTTCAAAAGGGTTGTTAATTGGGGGGTGAGACTAGGTTAAATCATATCAAGACTTCAATTTTTAAAAATAAATTCAAAAAAACAATTGCTTTGAATCTTTGAAAATAATTGCATTTTATATAAGTAAATATAAATCATTTCCAAATTTCAATTTTTAAAAATAAATTTATAGAAACAATTGCCTCGAATCTTTGATAATAATTGCATTTTATATAAGAGAATTTAAATCATTTCCAAATTTCAATTTTTTTAAATAAATTCACAGAAATAATTGCCTGGAATCTTTAATAATAATTGCATTTTGTATAATAAAATTGCAATTTTTTAAAATAAATTCACAGAAATAATTGCCTCCAAACTTTGATAATAATTGTAATTTGTATAACAAAATTCCGATCATTTTGAAATTTCAATTATTAAAAATAAATTCAAAGAAATAATTGCCTCAAATCTTCAATAATAATTGCATTTTATATAAAAAAATTTAACTCATTTTGAAGTTTCAATTTTTAAAGATAAATTCAAAGAAAAATCGTCTGTTTGACCTTGCTATCAGACATTTTTTCAAACGCGTGGAATCCACGTTTCCTTCGGGGATGCAGTTAATTTAAAGAGAAAGAGAATCCGCCATTCTTTCGTTTGGCATTTACGATCGAGGGCATAAAGCTACGGTGCAATGAAGCGCGAATCTCTCGAGCTTCAAAAAGGTCTACAGGAAAGTACTTCCCACACTATTCAGCGCGTACAGACGTACCAAGATTTATCCGCGATTCGATTCAGTGGCCAAATGTACTCCCGGAAGTGCACCACAATACATAATCAAACACGACTCATTGTACCAACAGTTACCATTCTAGTAGCTTTACTTTCTCGAAGTTGTAGATTTATTAACACAACGATCGTAAAAAAACACTCAAAATTATTTATAACAAATTTTAAGAGTAATTAATTATTTAGAATGTTAAATAAAAGGCTTCAGATATTTTAAAAATATTCAAAATGACAAAGCAAACTTCAAAGTTTAATTAAAAAATAAATTTTGGATTATTTATTTAAGTTCAACTTTTCTTAAAATACACCTTTTTTTAGGAAATTTATTAACATAACAATTGTAAGAGAACACTCAAAATTATTTATAACAAATTTTAAGAGTAATTAATTATTTAGAATGTTAAATAAAAGGCTTCAGATATTTTAAAAATATTCAAAATGACAAAGCAGACTTCAAAGTTTAATTAAAAAATAAATTATGGATTATTTATTTAAGTTCAACTTTTCTTAAAATACACCTTTTTTTAGGAAATTTATTAACATAACAATTGTAAGAGAACACTCAAAATTATTTATAACAAATTTTAAGAGTAATTAATTATTTAGAATGTTAAATAAAAGGCTTCAGATATTTTAAAAATATTCAAAATGACAAAGCAAACTTCAAAGTTTAATTAAAAAATAAATTTTGGATTATTTATTTAAGTTCAACTTTTCTTAAAATACACCTTTTTTTAGGAAATTTATTAACATAACAATTGTAAGAGAACACTCAAAATAATTTATAACAAATTTTAAGAGTAATTAATTATTTAGAATGGTAAATAAAAGGCTTCAGATATTTTAAAAATATTCAAAATGACAGAGGGAATTAAATTGGAAATGAAAACATGATACGACATAGCAAACTTCACAATTTAATTAAAAAATGAATTCTAGATTATTTGTCAAGTTCAACTTTTCTTGAAATATATTTTTTATTAGGAAATTTATTAACACAACAATCACATGAAAATTCCAAAAATTACTTATGACGAATTTTAAGTATAATAAATTAAAAATTAAAAGGCTTCAGATATTAAAAAAAATATTCAAAAGATGACAGAAGAAATTAAATTGTAAATTAAAACATTAAAATTGAAAGTTTAATTAAAAAATAAATTATGGATTATTTGTCCAGTGAATTATAATTATTCAGAGCACTGTATGTGTTTAATCATTTTCGAAATACATCTTTCGGTTAGGAAATTTATTAAACATTTGTTTATGTCAAATTTATTTTTGCTAAATAATCAATTTCGCAACATATTAAAATAGAAGATATTTTAAAATTGATGGAAGTTTGCCACGCATCCCGTAGCGTGCGCCTGTGAGTGTGCGCAGAAGGAGTGTGCGCAGAGGAGTGTGCGCGCGCATGAGCGTTGCGTCGCTTTCCACCGAGATTGTCGTCGTGCGTTGTTGCGTGCACCAACATGTATCACTTCTGTATTGTTCGTTATTATTAAACAACAATCTAACAAAAATCATTCAGGATGGCAGAAGAAATTAAATTGTAAATCAAAACATGGTATGACAAAGAAAATTATTGATAAATGATATTAATTAAACTTCGAAATTTTTTTAATATTCAAGATGGAATTTTGAGGTTATTTGTACAGTGAATTATAATTATTCACAGCACTCTGCACTCTTATAATTCTATATAAGAAAAATATTAAGTAAATATTGATATAAATATTAATTTTTATTAACTATTTCTTTTGTTTGTCCAGCTGTGTCTGTGTCAGTCGGTGTATGGACTCTCGTGGCCATTTCTCTGGAACGTTACTTCGCCATTTGCAGACCACTAAAGTCAAGACGGTGGCAAACTCAGTTTCATGCTTACAAAATGATCGCTGTGGTTTGGACTACCAGTCTCACGTGGAACGCGCCAATCCTTGTAGTTTCACGACTTCAAAGTATAGGTGGAGGTAAAGATCGCGCAATTTCACTCATTTTACATTTTACATTCTCCTTTGACTCTTTGTTTTTTTTAATATGTGTTTTTTATTCGATGTGATTGTATGTGTGTATAAAAAAGGGGTCAAAAGTGACCCAAAAGAACGACTTGAAATATTATAATTTTTTAATTTGATTGCAAGCTTTTAATTGTTTATAACAATCGGGTCAAAAGTGACCCTGAATAATCACTCAAAATATTATAATTTTCTATTTTGATCTCAACCATCTTAATGGGTCAACAGTGCCCCAAAAGAGTGACTCCAAATATTACAATTTTTCATTTTGATTGCAAGCTTCTAATTGTTTATAACAATCGGGTCAAAAGTGACCGAGAATAATCACTCGAAATATCCTAATTTTTCATTTTAATCTCAATCTTATGACTGCATTTCTAATGAGTCAAAAGTGATCCAAAATAATGACTCAAATTACAAAAATTGCAATGTCACTCATTTTATAATTATTTAAAAATTTTATATGCTCCTTCGTATTCCTCGTCTTCTTCAATACGTGTTTTGTCGTCGATTCGACGTGCTTGTCTGCATGTATTAATTTTAGATACCTGTTGTTCGAAACACGATACTTATTGTACTCTTCAAATTGAACGTCCACGCAATATACGCTTGTAAATATGTCAAGCGTTTGATATATTGAAAATAGGGTGGAAGGTAAGCTCCTTACTTTCGAAAATTCGATACGATGGATTATTATTTAGAACTCGAGTAAAACGTCAGGCGAAGCTTGACTATGTCAGGGGTTAAAATATCCTCGAAACTTTATGTTAACAATCACAATGTCCAAAACAGCATTGTCTTTGACAATTCAACAAATAAAATCTTTCCTATTATTAGAAGAATATTTACAGAATAATAAAAGAGAAAAATAATAGTATTTAAATCGCCTAAAAATTATTCAGATTTCAAGAAAATATTTTGAAAAAAAATCCTCAAATTAATTCGTATTTGTTTATGCAAATTCATATTTTTATTAATAGAATTAACGAGATATTTGATTAATAGAGAATTGTCCCAAAAATATAATAATTCTGACTCGAAGAATTTTTTTATATTTTTGCATATTAACACTTTACCGACCGATTAATCGACTGTTTTACCGGCCAACGCTTACCGACCGATAGCCTATTAGTCAACTGTTTTATCGGTCGACGTTTACCGACCGATAACCGATTAATCAACTGTTTTATCGGTCGGTAAAGTGTTAAGTGTATTCCATAGTTTATAAAAAATTGATGCATAAATATTTGCATTCCATTTATGAGGAATTTGTATGCAAAATGAATGAAGCAACGAAAAAATTCACGATTCGTTTAAAATTCCAATATTTCTAATCTCGATTAAGTATCATTTTTCTGTTGTTTTTATTGTTACGTTACGAAATCGAAAAGTTTCATTTTCACACGTATACAGTTTTTTGTATCCCAGTGTATATACGTTCGCAGATGCAATAAAAATCCTGTTTGCTCTATGAGAGATATAAAAACGACGGTTCAATTTTGCTCATCGACCATCGCCGGTGACCTGCATCCACCTTCGGGCAAATCTAGGATTATTTCTTTTATTGGCTTTTAATATTTCTAGATTGCCGGCCAAATGGAGCAGGGAAATATTATTCCGTTGATATGAATATTTGATTTCACAGCTCTCGAGGCTTCAGCTTCCTTTTGCTAAACGCAAGGTGGAAGGACAAGTCTGAAATAGTTCTAAAACACAAGAGAAAAGATTTAGAAAAAATTTTAGAATCAATTTTCATCATTTTAAATCTCATTATTTTGTGTTTTTAATGGACTAGCTATTCAGACAAATTTAATAAATTATTATACAATATTTAATATGTTTATACAATACTTGGGTGTTTAGAAATATTAGAAAAATTTTAGAAAAATTTTTATTTATTTTTTGTATATTTATCTAGTGGAATAAAAATTCTAATCACTTGAAATATTTCTAAATTACAAAAAAGGAGATATAAAAAAAATTTCATTATCAATTTTATTATTTAAAATTTTTTTGTATTTTTAATGGATTTAGACAAAATTTAATAAATTATTACACAAAATAATTGTAATTTACCATTAAAAAAAATTAAATTGGACCCTTTTTTATTGTACAATATTTTTATAAAACTCTTGTGTGTTTAGAAATATTAGAAAAATTTCAAGCTAGCAAAATTTTTGCCTGACACTGTACCTCCATTGGATTTAAATATTTGATTGCACCGAACGTTTTTCGCAATAATCAACACACAATGGAGGAAATTTTATCTCCTAAAAATTTGTTAATATTCTCTGAAAATTAATATGGAAGCAGTAATTAAAAATAAATGAATTTTTGTTCATTTTTTTTAAACAAAATAATTCATTCATGAAGTGGTTAAATTTACCACTGAAATTCAAACGAAGTGGTTAAATTTACCACTGAAATTCAAACGAACACTCGTGGAAAAACAACATCGTTTTGATAAATGAATGTTTTAATTAAATATCTACTCGAAAAAAGTGCTTCCGGAGTACGCTTTAAATTTTTTTTTTTATCAAACGTTTTGTAATTTAATTTCCTGGTGTGGAACACGAGCTGAAGGTGTGTTTTGTTTCAGGTAGACACAAGTGTCGAGAAGAGTGGCCAGGCGTCGGTACGGAAAGGGCTTACAACCTCTTCTTAGACGGAATGTTGCTTCTGGTTCCTTTGATAGTAATGAGCCTGGCTTATTCGTTAATCGCGGCGGAACTTTGGCGAGGATTGCGACAAGAAATGCGACAATCGTCCAATTGTCAACGACGTCGTAAGTCTTAAACGCTTTTGAACATTTATTACAACATTAATATTATTATATTTCGTGTCGAATAATTTTACAATTTTAGGGTAACTAATTTCAATTAGATCTAAATTTTTTAGAGGATTTTATAGTCAGTTAGAGTTGTATGATGATTTGTTAAAGTTGTGATAATTTATTTGTTCTAATACTGGAATCTAATATTCAATATATTTGAATTTTTTATACGATTTTAAAGTCACTCCGAGTCGTATGGATTTTTTAAAATTCTAGTCTCTGAGGGTAATATGTAAAAATACCTTCAAACACTATGATAATTTATTTGTTCTAATACTAGTAACTAATATCAGTCACACCTGAATTTTTTATAGGATTTTAAAGTCACTCAGAGTTGCATAAATTTTTCAAAATTCTAGTCTCTGAATATAACATGTAGAAATAACTTCAAACACTGTGATGATTTATTTGTTCTAATACTGGAATCTAATATTCATTATATTTGAATTTTTTAAAGGATTTTATAATCACTCAGAATTGTATTATGTTTTGTTAAAATTCTAGTCTCACAGTATAACATGTAGCAATACCTTCAAACACTGTGATAATTTATTTGTTCTAATATTAGTAACTAATATCAGTTACATCTGAATTTTTTAGAGGATTTTATAATCACCCAGAGTTGTATGAATTTTTTAAAATTCTGTTCTCAGAGTGTAATATGTAGAAATAGCTTCAAACTCTGTGATAATTTATTGGTTCTAATATTAGTAACTAATATCAGTCACACCTGAATTTTTTATAGGATTTTAAAGTCACTCAGAGTTGCATAAATTTTTCAAAATTCTAGTCTCTGAATATAACATGTAGAAATAACTTCAAACACTGTGATAATTTATTTGTTCTAATACTGGAATTTAATATTCATTATATTTGAATTTTTTAAAGGATTTTATAATCACTCAGAGTTGTATTATGATTTGTTAAAATTCTAGTCTCACAGTATAACATGTAGCAATACCTTCAAACACTGTGATAATTTATTTGTTCTAATATTAGTAACTAATATCAGTTACATCTGAATTTTTTAGAGGATTTTATAATCACCCAGAGTTGTATGAATTTTTTAAAATTCTGTTCTCAGAGTGTAATATGTAGAAATAGCTTCAAACACTGTGATAATTTATTTGTTCTAATATTAGTAACTAATATCAGTCACACCTGAATTTTTTATAGGATTTTAAAGTCACTCAGAGTTGCATAAATTTTTCAAAATTCTAGTCTCTGAATATAACATGTAGAAATAACTTCAAACACTGTGATAATTTATTTGTTCTAATACTGGAATTTAATATTCATTATATTTGAATTTTTTAAAGGATTTTATAATCACTCAGAGTTGTATTATGATTTGTTAAAATTCTAGTCTCACAGTATAACATGTAGCAATACCTTCAAACACTGTGATAATTTATTTGTTCTAATATTAGTAACTAATATCAGTTACATCTGAATTTTTTAGAGGATTTTATAATCACCCAGAGTTGTATGAATTTTTTAAAATTCTGTTCTCAGAGTGTAATATGTAGAAATAGCTTCAAACTCTGTGATAATTTATTGGTTCTAATATTAGTAACTAATATCAGTCACACCTGAATTTTTTATAGGATTTTATAGTCACTCAGAGTTGCATAAATTTTTCAAAATTCTAGTCTCTGAATATAACATGTAGAAATAACTTCAAACACTGTGATAATTTATTTGTTCTAATACTGGAATTTAATATTCATTATATTTGAATTTTTTAGAGGATTTTATAATCACTCAGAGTTGTATTATGATATGTTAAAATTCTAGTCTCACAGTATAACATGTAGCAATACCTTCAAACACTGTGATAATTTATTTGTTCTAATATTAGTAACTAATATCAGTTACATCTGAATTTTTTACAGGATTTTATAATCACTCAGAGTTGTATGAATTTTTTAAAATTCTAGTCTCAGAGTGTAATATGTAGAAATAGCTTCAAACTCTGTGATAATTTATTGGTTCTAATATTAGTAACTAATATCAGTCACACCTGAATTTTTTATAGGATTTTAAAGTCACTCAGAGTTGCATAAATTTTTCAAAATTCTAGTCTCTGAATATAACATGTAGAAATAACTTCAAACACTGTGATGATTTATTTGTTCTAATACTGGAATCTAATATTCATTATATTTGAATTTTTTAAAGGATTTTATAATCACTCAGAATTGTATTATGTTTTGTTAAAATTCTAGTCTCACAGTATAACATGTAGCAATACCTTCAAACACTGTGATAATTTATTTGTTCTAATATTAGTAACTAATATCAGTTACATCTGAATTTTTTAGAGGATTTTATAATCACCCAGAGTTGTATGAATTTTTTAAAATTCTGTTCTCAGAGTGTAATATGTAGAAATAGCTTCAAACTCTGTGATAATTTATTGGTTCTAATATTAGTAACTAATATCAGTCACACCTGAATTTTTTATAGGATTTTAAAGTCACTCAGAGTTGCATAAATTTTTCAAAATTCTAGTCTCTGAATATAACATGTAGAAATAACTTCAAACACTGTGATAATTTATTTGTTCTAATACTGGAATTTAATATTCATTATATTTGAATTTTTTAAAGGATTTTATAATCACTCAGAGTTGTATTATGATTTGTTAAAATTCTAGTCTCACAGTATAACATGTAGCAATACCTTCAAACACTGTGATAATTTATTTGTTCTAATATTAGTAACTAATATCAGTTACATCTGAATTTTTTAGAGGATTTTATAATCACCCAGAGTTGTATGAATTTTTTAAAATTCTGTTCTCAGAGTGTAATATGTAGAAATAGCTTCAAACTCTGTGATAATTTATTGGTTCTAATATTAGTAACTAATATCAGTCACACCTGAATTTTTTATAGGATTTTAAAGTCACTCAGAGTTGCATAAATTTTTCAAAATTCTAGTCTCTGAATATAACATGTAGAAATAACTTCAAACACTGTGATAATTTATTTGTTCTAATACTGGAATTTAATATTCATTATATTTGAATTTTTTAAAGGATTTTATAATCACTCAGAGTTGTATTATGATTTGTTAAAATTCTAGTCTCACAGTATAACATGTAGCAATACCTTCAAACACTGTGATAATTTATTTGTTCTAATATTAGTAACTAATATCAGTTACATCTGAATTTTTTAGAGGATTTTATAATCACCCAGAGTTGTATGAATTTTTTAAAATTCTGTTCTCAGAGTGTAATATGTAGAAATAGCTTCAAACACTGTGATAATTTATTTGTTCTAATATTAGTAACTAATATCAGTCACACCTGAATTTTTTATAGGATTTTAAAGTCACTCAGGGTTGCATAAATTTTTCAAAATTCTAGTCTCTGAATATAACATGTAGAAATAACTTCAGACACTGTGATAATTTATTTGTTCTAATACTGGAATTTAATATTCATTATATTTGAATTTTTTAGAGGATTTTATAATCACTCAGAGTTGTATTATGATATGTTAAAATTCTAGTCTCACAGTATAACATGTAGCAATACCTTCAAACACTGTGATAATTTATTTGTTCTAATATTAGTAACTAATATCAGTTACATCTGAATTTTTTACAGGATTTTATAATCACTCAGAGTTGTATGAATTTTTTAAAATTCTAGTCTCAGAGTGTAATATGTAGAAATAGCTTCAAACTCTGTGATAATTTATTGGTTCTAATATTAGTAACTAATATCAGTCACACCTGAATTTTTTATAGGATTTTAAAGTCACTCAGAGTTGCATAAATTTTTCAAAATTCTAGTCTCTGAATATAACATGTAGAAATAACTTCAAACACTGTGATGATTTATTTGTTCTAATACTGGAATCTAATATTCATTATATTTGAATTTTTTAAAGGATTTTATAATCACTCAGAATTGTATTATGTTTTGTTAAAATTCTAGTCTCACAGTATAACATGTAGCAATACCTTCAAACACTGTGATAATTTATTTGTTCTAATATTAGTAACTAATATCAGTTACATCTGAATTTTTTAGAGGATTTTATAATCACCCAGAGTTGTATGAATTTTTTAAAATTCTGTTCTCAGAGTGTAATATGTAGAAATAGCTTCAAACTCTGTGATAATTTATTGGTTCTAATATTAGTAACTAATATCAGTCACACCTGAATTTTTTATAGGATTTTAAAGTCACTCAGAGTTG